AATTCTTTACAACTCGGCTTAGGGTGCAGTTACCAGTAAGGGCCAATTTTTGCTATCTTTGCTCACATGAGCAATATCTTAATCAAGTGGAACCACTGGTTTCAGCGAAGACTACGTAGAGTGAATAGGACCATGCTCTCTAAGTGACAAAGTCTCATTCTAAATTGTCAGTCCAAATGGTGGTAAATCATGTTTTGTCTTCATCTTAATTGCAACCATGATAATGGAGGTATACAGATGCCTACCTAATGAGGTTGGAAGGCACCAGCCACTTGAGGAGTTAGGCTGTATTCCCGATCATTGCAAATTATGCTTTCACAGTGTAAAAGACAAGAGGAGGTCTTAAATTTAAGATTCTAACTTCGCAGTGGTAGGAATGCAAAACAACTTTACTGATATCGGTGGAGTTTGCCAACGTATACTAACGTGGGTTCAGAATGAAGCTCTGCTCTTTTAGTAAGTGATTGATTCATCCCTTCTTCCAACAAGAAACCACTTTTTATTCTCAAAAAGCAGCTTTTTTTCCTGTCTTACCTTAGTTTGACTGTGATGTGAAATTACTATTTGAAATCCAGTCCTTGGGACGTGCTGAAGAAGTCTCTCCCAGTAGCTTCAGGAAGGCACCACGTTTTTCCCCTGGCAGCAGTTTACAATCATTTTTCCTGTCTGTGTGTGGCTGTATATGGAGTTATTTTTATATGATGAGCAGTGTGGTGTGGTCTCAGTACTGTATTTGTAGAAGTAGAACTTATGTTTGCACGTATTTAAAGAATATATTTGGTATTTTAATGCCAAGGAAAGCACTGTTTCCAAGTCCAAATGTGAACGAAGATTGAAGATGCTTTACTGTTTAAAAAAAACTGTTGATCTTTCCAGTATGTGATTAAAGATTTCTGGTTTATACATACATTGTGGAAGTACCATAAAGAACGTGTTTGCATTAATTACCATAATAGGTTTTGCATAACTTGCACAGTATCTTGTCCAAATAAATACCTTTATCAATCACATGTATTTTTAGATAATTACTAGGATTGTATTTTCTCTGCATATCAACATTTTTTTTCTTTTAGTAGTTGGTGTTTACATATCCAACAATCAAACTGATTTCATACAATAAGCTTTATAATGTACCTTTGCATTTTTCCCTGCATTGCCAAGTTTCATGTACTTTACTGTAAAAAGCTGAGTTTAAGTGAACAAAAGATAAATTATAAGTTGTTTATGTTTGAGTACTAAATATTTGCCTTCTGAAACTATTATTTAGAAAATTATTTAATTTAAAAATATGTCATTGTTATGGCTAGTTAAAATAAGGAAAAGTGACTTTAAATTGAAACAATTTTGAAAAATAAAAGTAATTTATCAGAAAAAAAACTTCTTCTTACTAAATCCCTTTTGACATGTCCAATAAAGCAGCACTTTGTAGCAAAGTACCATTGTGGAACTAGCTGTTATTCCATTAAAGCACATATGTCCTGTGCCTGACTATTCATCGGGGATGGCTGTGTTCAGAGAAGGGGTAACCTTCACATGTCTCCTTTGCTGCTGTATTTATAGCTAGATATTACATGCCATTTTGGGCTCAATATTTGAATATTTTATTTGAATTATATTTTTTGAATATGTTTGCAGGAAGTCCTGTCAGAAATACACTGCCACAAGCATTTAAATTCCGTATTTGTAACAGTGGTATCAGTAGTTGGTTCTTAAAGTGAGGTGCCATTTTTCATCAATGGCACTGTTAAAATACTGTTTTTCCAACTCATTGGTTTCCTTACTCTGCCAAAGTAACCAAACAGCAATTCAAACACGGCTATCCCACAAAAACATTTCAAGGACGACATTTAGTATCTGGAAACTCTCAGATCTCCCTTATAACGGACTGGTCTAGCAGACTAATGACCTGTAAAGGATCCTACAAAAAATGGCCATACTCTACAAGTGCTTAGTCATCATTTACTGTATGACACGCAGAACCACAGAATTTAGGCTGGAAGGGACCTCTGGAAGTCATCTAGTCCAACCCCCTGTAGGGCTAATACAATCACGTTGCTCCAAGCCATGTCCAGTCAATCTCTGAACACCCCCAAGGATGGAGGTTCCACAACAACCAGCTGGTATTTGAAGCCACCAGTGCTGCAGCCTAGGGCAGAAGCCCCAAGCCCTCTCTGCAGCCCACACCTGGGCAGCAGCGTCCTTCGCCCGGGGCAGAGGAAGGCACCAGGTGTCCCGCCCTGCAGCGCCTTCACGCAGGCTCCAAGTGGTCCTCAGCAGAGCTGCTGGGCCTCTCCGGGGCCTGCCGCCATGTCCCGGCCCGAGCGTCCCGTGGGTCTGTCCCTCCCTCCTCAGACACTGGCCTCTCCCAGCAGCAGATGCAGCCGGAGGCGCCAGAAGCAGCGTCCTGAGCTGCTGTGGGAGCCGCGGCGGCGAACACCAGCCCGGAGCCCTGCCC